ACATACTGCAAATTTCATCAATCACCTGAGACACTGGCCCTAACCGACTCATCTTGCTCAACTGTAACTGGACTTGACATGTCCTGGCTACCATGCTTTCAATGGAATCCATGGCAATGCTGGCACAGGCCTTGGGGTTTCAGGCTGATGACACACATAGCAAGTCTGCGGGCTCCAGGCCCTTCGGCTTGCTATGGGAATTCTGTACTGTGCAGGGTGAGCTCCAGGCAGTGGGTGTCCTGAGGCTTCCAAAACTTGGGCTATAGGCACAGCCCATAGAGACACCTGCACTTTTTCTCCAGGGCAGTGGGCAGCAAATGAGGTGCAAGAAACAGCTCTGTGCCAGCCCCACCAGAGCATTCCGGAATGACCTAGATCCTTAGCGGGGAGCTCGCCTTTGCCTAGAGACACAGCGCTTTTCTTCTGCTCACTGAACAGCAAGGCGAGTTCTGGGAACGGCCTAAAGAGAAACATTTAGATTGGAGGGGTCTTTGAGCAGCCTGACAGCTGACGGATGACCATCCATAAAGCGACAAAGAGGGGCTGTGTGGCAGCCGGCGTCACATAGCCTCTCCCTGGGAAACTAATTGCTCCGGATTGTCCCAAGGAACATTATTTTTCTGGCAATCATTTCCTTTGAATGCCCAAAATGAGCATGAAACAACTCTTTTCACTGGACATAAAAGTTAAATGTCCCAATGTTGATCAAATTAACTTCAGCACTGTGACAATGGACTGTGTTTGTGAGAAAATAATGGGGGGACAGAGGGGTGCTTTATGCCAGGGTTTCACAGTTGTAATGTAAAAATGTCTCTGTTGAACTAGCCAGGCCACATTTCAAAGGGGACACTGAAGGCTCCTGTCACTTGGCAGAAAAAAAAAAAATCTCATTTCATGGGCTGAGCACTCAGGAAGGTTTCAGGGCATCCTCACAGTTGCTGCCTCAGGGTCCTGGTTTAGTCACCCTAGATACCCCCTAAGGGCTAACCTTGTGTCAAGAAGAGTATCACAGAAGTGACCAGTGCAGGCACCCCCTGGAGCCACAGAGGGTGGAGGCCTTTGACATCCCAGCATCCCCAGGCCCTAACACAGATGCCTTTGACTTCCTGGGCCTCTGAACCTGCCTAAACTTCCCAGAGTCTGCTCTTCAGCACCTATGGGTTTTCTTTTAAAATCTTTCATAACAGGGTGTCCAAGTACTAAGATGGCAGAGGTAGGCAGATCTCTGTATGTTCAAGGCCAGCCTGGTCTACAAAGCAAGTTCCAGGCAGCTAGGGCTACACTGTAAGATGCTGTCTCAGAACAAAACAAAACTCCCCACATACATACATATATACACACACACATACAAACATACACATACACACATACATATACACACACACACACACACACACACACACACACACACACACACACACACAACTTTGGGCTATAGAGCAGGCTCAGTGGTTAAGAATACTTGTTGCACCCAGGTTTGATTCCCAGAATCCACATGGCAGCTCACAGTCCCAGGAGATCCAATACCAGGCCTATGTGGGATATACATATATTCATGCAGGCAAAGCAGTCATACACATAGAATAATAAAATAAATACATCTAAAATATTTCAATTTTTTTCATAACTAGATATTTAAGGCTAAAAGCTCACAAGTCACACAAACATAGACACATTATCTTACACAAGAAGTCTTGGCTGGCCAGGCATGATGGCTCATGAAAGCAATACCAGTATTCAGGCAACTGAGGCAGGAGAATTGTGAGTTCTAGGCTAGTCTGGGCTACAGAGTAAGTTTCTGCATCAAAAACAAAAAAGAAGGAAGGAAAAGAAGGGAGAAGGAATGAAAGAAGGAAGGAAGGAAGGAAGGAAGGAAGGGAGGGAGGGAGGAAGGAAGGAAGGAAGGAAGGAAGGAAGGAAGGAAGGAAGGAAGGAAGGAAGGAAGGAAGGAAGGAAGGAAGGAAGGGAGACAAAACCCCCAAACAAACCTGCAAAGAAAATGAAAGACTGTGAAGGAAGGCAATTGTAGCTGCTTATGCTGGAGTGAGGGGCCAGTCCCTCACTGGTGTCTCAGGGACACCAGTGTCTTTGCATGCAATGGTTCTAGTGCAGGCAGGCATGCCACTCACAGCTGAGGCTCCTGAGAACGGAGTCAGCAGTGGCTCTTGGACTTGTTTCTTTATAACTTATTTTAGAATAGTCTTCGATTTGGAGGAAAATGATGGCATACTGGTGCCTCTTGGTTTTCACACCATCTTTCTTCCCCTTTTGCAGACAGGGGTGTGATATTGTTGATCCCTGGGTCGGATGCCCCCACTTCTCAGACGAAGACAGGGACCTACTGGCAGGCTGGACAGGGAGATTAAACCGAAGAAGCCAGCCTCCCTATCCCAGCCTCCTCACTGTCTCCTGCAGCTCAGTGGGGCCTGCAGACAATGCTCGCACGGTTCCCAGTGCTGCGGCTGTGAATACAGCGCTGTTGGTGGCGGTGTCCATTCAAAGGCCAGTACAGCATTGTCCTCCCCAATCAGCACAGTAGAATGCAGTCTGCTGGTGGCTGCCAAAAGGTTAGCCTCCCGATGAAAGGGCGGGCCGTGATTCACCGCTCCTGCAGAGTGGCCCTTTGTGCCCAGCAGCCCAGCCCTACACTGCGGAGGTCCGGATCTGCGGCTGGCTGAGCTCGCCACAGAAGCCATTCATTGGAATGCAAAGATGCAGAAAAGTGGCCCCCAGACCCCGAGGCTGCTTTTCTGGAGGGATGGTGGTGTAGGGCAATGACACATTCTAATGCCTTACCACATTGACAAGCTGACCATGGTCACCAGGACTGATGGACATTTGGTCTCTCTCAGCTCCCAGCTCCCTGGGAGGTCCCAGAAAAACGGCCATGGAGCGAACAGCAGGAAGAACCACACAGACAAGGCTCTTGCTGCTGGCTGCTGGTTCACTAGCCCAGGAAGGCAGCCGCCCCATGGAGACATCACCACCACAGAGGAACCTGCCAGGAGGGAGGTTCCAGGGTCACCCACCCAAGCCTCTAACAATCTCCTTGAAATTTAGACATGATCCTGAGGTGAGACACGATCAGTTCGGTGCTGTCCTCAGGCTCTGGTCTTGATGGGGGCAGCTCCAGCTACTGTTCACTCCAGGAACCAGCGAGCAACATCATCATGGTACCTCCACACAAGCATGGCTGGGCAGGGCCCACACCGGAGGGTACTTAAGAACAGGGCTGGTGAAGTGCAGGGGAGCTGAGTTGAGGACACCAAAGGATGAGGGCCTCTGGGCTCATAGGTTATGTGGGGAAGATACAAATGGACAGAAATGGGATGTTTTGTTGGGGCAAAGCACTTGAACCTATCTCCAAGTGCCTAAGCTGTTCCCATAGTGGGTGCTGAGTTCAGGCTTCAAGCCGGGTACAGTACCTGCTCGGGCTTCAGCCCCAGATGAAAGGTGTGGTTGCATACAGATTTTTAAAGAGGAGATAGGCCTTGTGCTTAAGGCTTATATAAGGACCTCCTCAGCAGCTGTTCTTTGAGACCTCATCTGATGCTAGGGACCCTCAACACATACCACTAGCCCATCGCCCCTGGTCATGCTGGGGCAGAAATTTGAATACTCCCTAGGATCTTCCATCATGGGAGTCTGCTAGCTCTGCCCTCAAGAATTTGATGGTGCAGGAACAACACGCTACATGTGACTAGAGGTGATTCTATGGGAACCCCGGGTGGACTGCTTTTCCTTCAGGTGCACAAATCTTCCAAGAAGCCCGTACAGGCTCAGGAAATGTCCTGCATCCTGCCAATCTTTTCTTCCTGCCTGAGTCAGTGCTTGGCACATCCCAGCTAGTGTGTCCTCTCTCAGGGATGCAGCAACAATCAATATGACTGTCCACAGGACAAGTGGTGATTTGGAGATTGCAAAATCCTCTGCTCAGCAAAACACCTGTATTCACAGATGGCCACTTCAGGAGACCAGGCAGGAAGTGCTCTGTGAAGGTACAGAGGATGGGAGAGCATAAGGAGAGGCCAGACGTGGGATAGGGGGAGGCTAAGATCTGAGTGGAGGTCAGGATGGGCTGAGAAAAGGAGACTAAAGCCAAGCCAGACAAGACCCCATATACTCCACTCCCTCTCCTCTGAACTCAATGTATTGCCCTTGCTGAGTTAAGGCCAGAGCAAGGCCTCCAGGAAACAGTGTGAAGCTCAGGAAGAACCAAGACCACCTGCCCAGGTCTGTGGGAAGTGGCTTTAGCCAACCAGAGTTGATCCTTCCTCATCACATGGCAAGAGGATCAACTTAAGGACCATAAGAAAGGAGCACAGTCTAGATCCAGATGTGTCTCCCAGACTGGGCTTCAGAAATGCCTATCTGTAAGTCAGATGGATACTGTTACTCAGGTCCAGATTCATCCTATCAGTCAGGGCTACCATCTTCTCTGGATGACAGCCCATTAGTCCTAACCCATCCAAGATCACACAGGATATCACAGACAGAGGAGCCTATAGCCAGAGCAGGTGGGAGCCCCGGCAGAAGGTGAGTAGTCCCTAGCTCTGACAACCACTAAGGCCACCAGCCCTTCCTCAGGGATGATCCTGTGCCCAGGAAGCACAGATGGACAGGAAAGAGACAGAGGCAGGAAGAAGGCAACGGTATGGTTGGGCAGCAGAGCTTCCTTGAGTTGACCCAGGCAGAGCACCAGAGGCATCCATTCTTGAATCCATACCTAAACACAGCCATGGCAATTCTGTGTAGTTTGCATTTGCCCTCCTCTTCAAGGCACAGCTTCCTTCATTTTCCCACAGAACACAGAAGGAAAGGGAAGTAATATGCAACCATTTGCTCATTTGTTCAGGGTCTGCTCAAATAGAGCTGGAGATTTTACATTCCTTATGGGTTGACATTCTGGAGGGCCATTCTCAAACAGGAAAACAGAAACCATGAAGTGGCCTTCGAGCAGCCTCAGCCATGTTCAGAAGTGGCTAGGATACAGCACCTACCTGTCGAGCACATAGCCCAGAGCCTTGTGCCTGACACCCGAGTACACTGAGGGGCTTGTCTCCCAGGCCACTAAGTTGGATGCATCATGAAAAAGATGGATGTTCACCAAGTCGAAGGCACTGTAATGAACAAAAAAAAAGGACCTTATACCAGGAGCTAGAATTCCAGTTACCCTGAACAGAGCTATGCCTCTTTGGCTCCCACCCTCTTCCTCAGCTCAGGATTAAAGCCCTGGGCACCCATCCTTAGTCACTACAAAGTGAACCACAGCATTGCCTCCCCATGGCCAGAAGGCATGAGACCTTCAGTTATACCTCCAATAAATCATCACTCTGGCCAAGTAAACTAGAGCTATTTTCCTTTAAAGAAAAGATACTATTATAAAACTTCCTGTAAGCTGGAAGGAGGAGGATACTTCTCTCTGAGTCTCTGTTCCCAAGAGCCCACACTGCAGGGATGAGCCACTGTTGGGGACTCTGTAAGACAGGGGCATGGAAACAAGCAGAAAAACTGTCCTTCCATTGCCTCTGAGCATACAGCCTGAGGGGCCTCGTGTATATGGACTTGATGAGGCCAGAGTGAGGTCTGCATCAACCTTTCCCATGACCTATGATGTCCCTAGGCATCTCCAGTTAGCATGGACCATCTGCCTTACCAGATAATGGCTTCATACCATTCCAAAGGCGCATACTACCATGTTGCATCTTCTATAGGGCACTGGAACTGGACCTCACCATTTCTCTTCAGCAGCAATGTGAAGGAAAGCCCAATAACTCAGCCACTAGCTCTGTGCCTAAGTGATCCTCCCATACTGTATAGGGAGAAGTTGGTCCCTGAGAACAAGGACAAAGAGTAGCATGGGTGGCCAGCCACCTCCTGGATGGGGTCATTAGCTCTATCTTAGGAACCCTCTGCTTCTCTCCCCCATGTCCATTCTGGACATTGTCCTGACCAACTCTATGGGCCTGGGTCAGTACCTTAGTTGAACTATAGAGACCAGGGCTTAGTCAACTCTTGTTTCAGGAGCTGAAAACTGAGCCACGTTTCTGTGGTTCTCAGGTGGACAAGGCGAGCATTACTATGGAGAATGCTTATCTAAAGGACGAATAGGCTAGGACAAGTGAGTAGAGCTAAGACCTCATTTGTCTGTGCCCAATAACCTCAGGCTGTCTTTGCAGAGCTTAACTTTGTGGCCTGGGACCTAATGGAAGGCCTTCCTACCAGTTCAACTGTGCAATATGCTCTGACACACACAGGTCACACTTGAGGATGGACGTGATGTCTTTCCGCTTTCATTTGTACTGAATACCTGAACCTCCAATTTACACGGAATAGGAAACAACACTGTGCCATGTGGCATCACCCATCAACCAAAAGAGGAGTTATGGGGCAGTTTGAGCAGCAGGATCTCTGTTCTAAGTGAGTAGAGTCTTTGACAACATGTTTCAACACATACAAAAGAAGGGTAAAAATCACTCTCAAAATGATGGAGTGGAGACAGTCAATTCAGACGCCATAAAACATACCAGTCAGCAATGCACCACCGCGTCCTGATGAAGCCTTTTCTTGACCATTTGCACTGAAAAGTAAAGGTTACACCGTTAGCAAAACAGAGAAATGGGAAGCCATGGGGTTCGTCTGCAGTCATAGCACAGCTAAGAGGCGGTCTTTCCTTTGCTTGTTGGTTTGTTTTGGAGACAATGCCTTGCCATACAATCCAGGCTGGCCTTAAACTCATGATCCTACTAGCTCTAAGTGCTACTCCCAGCAGTTATATAGCATGCAATGTTCATCCACAGGTGGGGCAGCTACTAGGCAGAGTGGGTGCTGTGGTCTGAATGTCCCCTAAACCCTGGTGTTGACAGCTGACCTCCAATATGATAGGTCTGAGAGGCAGGGGTCTCTGAAAGGTGATTCTGTCACCAGGGCTGGGCCTTCTTGCAAATGGCTTGATGAAGGGAGTCTGGACCTTTTCATCCCTTGCCTGCTTTCTGCCACATGGGAACATGTGTTTGGGCTTGTAGAGGGCAGGTAGCCAGGTCCTACCTTGGAAAAGGATGCAGCCCTCACCAGATACTCTGCTAGCTCCTGGATCCTGCACTTACTGGGAATCCAAAACTCTTGAGAAGAACTTTCTGTTGTTGACCAACTACCTGGTCCTCAGGCTAAAGCTGCTAACTGAAGGCTGGACTAAAGAAAGGGGTGGTCACTTCTATGCTCTGTTCTCTCCCATCAAACAGACAACCACTCTTCAGAGTCTGGGAAGCCCCTGCCTGGGTTCTAAAATGATGAAAAATGAAAAAGCAGAGAAAGTCACGGGAAGGGAATGGGAGGGAGAGGAAGAGAAGAGGGAAGAAGCTGGACTTGCTCTGGACTACAGCTTCAGATGGACTGCACACACCCCGAGCCAGCCTCCCCAGCCTCCAGTCCCAGTGTTGCTGCACTACTGCAAGCCAAGACTGCTCACTGCACACAGGAGGTCAGGCACAGGAAGCAGTCTGCTGACATCAGACCTGCCTGGGGGACAATGGCCTTTCCAGCACTCAATGTATATGAACGAAAGAACTGAACTTTAATTCACACACCCTACAGAAAGCCACCTCATGGCCTCTCAGAGTTGGGAGCAGAAGTCCTGTGGGCAAAGAAGAGCTCCTCCTGCCTCCCTAGGTCACAAAGGGGAGGCAGGAACAAGTGTCTTGGCTCCCTAAGGAGAGTGGCCTACAGGGTGGGGATCTTCTACAGTGCCGGGTATTCTGTCTCAGAGACAGAAGAAAACAGATGAATCTTGAGAGGCTTGATTCCTTTGTGGTTGACAAAGGACCAGGGAAGAGGGCATCTCCTCCATGGTGCCCAGGTGGGCAGGGATAGAAGTGACCACAAGGGAATTTGGTTAACTTCTTCCTTCCTTCCTTCCTTCCTTCCTTCCTTCCTTCCTTCCTTCCTTCCTTCCTTCCTTCCTTCCT